GGTGACAGTGCTAATGGTTTGGTGGTGACAGTGGTAATGGTTGGGTGGTGACAGTGTTAATGGTTTGGTGGTGACAGAGGTAATGGTTTGGCGGTGACAGTGGTAATGGTTGGGTGGTGACAGTGCTAATGGTTTGGTGGTGACAGAGGTAATGGTTGGGTGGTGACAGTGTTAATGGTTGGGTGGTGACAGTGTTAATGGTTGGGTGGTGACAGTGTTAATGGTTGGGTGGTGACAGTGTTAATGGTTTGGTGGTGACAGTGGTAATGGTTTGGTGATGACAGAGGTAATGGTTGGGTGGTGACCGTGGTAATGGTTGGATGGTGACAGTGGTAATGGTTGGGTGGTGACAGTGGTAATGGTAGGGTGGTGACAGTGGTAATGGTTTGGTGGTGACAGTGGTAATGGTTTGGTGGTGACAGTGGTAATGGTAGGGTGGTGACAGTGGTGATGGTTTGGTGGTGACAGTGGTAATGGTTGGATGGTGACAGTGTTAATGGTTTGGTGGTGACAGTGGTAATGGTTGGGTGGTGACCGTGGTAATGGTTGGATGGTGACAGTGGTAATGGTTGGATGGTGACAGTGGTAATGGTTTGGCGGTGACAGTTGTAATGGTTGGGTGGTGACAGTGTTAATGGTTTGGTGGTGACAGTGGTAATGGTTGGGTGGTGACAGTGGTAATGGTTGGATGGTGACAGTGGTAATGGTTTGGTGGTGACAGTGGTAATGGTTGGATGGTGACAGTGGTAATGGTTTGGCGGTGACAGTGGAAATGGTTGGATGGTGACAGTGGTAATGGTTTGGCGGTGACAGTGGTAATGGTTGGATGGTGACAGTGTTAATGGTTGGATGGTGACAGTGTTAATGGTTGGGTGGTGACAGTGGTAATGGTTGGATGGTGACAGTGTTAATGGTTTGGTGGTGACAGTGGTAATGGTTGGATGGTGACAGTGGTAATGGTTTGGCGGTGACAGTGGTAATGGTTGGGTGGTGACAGTGTTAATGGTAGGGTGGTGACAGTGGTAATGGTTTGGTGGTGACAGTTCAATTCAGTACAACACGTTTAGAACTCGACAACAAATTCAATGGCTAATTTTCGGGGGAAAGGGGGGTAATTCAGGATTTCGGTAGTCGTGGGAATCGCCCGTCAGCATTACCTCGCCCCCATATGATCGCCTTCTGGTCCAGAAAGTTCTGATCGTCCTTCGTCGATCTTCGCTCCCCGCTGCGTGTCACCTTCCACTCAGCGTGCGCTTTGCCTCTCAGCTGCACTCGTATGCCTGCAAAAAAATTGTTCTTATTACGATCGTCCCCTAATTATCGTATCCCGCCTCCCTATTAAACATATCCTGTTGCCGTTGCTTCTCGTTCGCTCTCTCTCTCTCTCTTCTCTCTCTCTCTCTCTCTCTCTCTCTCTCTCTCTCTCTCTCTCTCTCTCTCTCTCTCTCTCTCTCTCTCTCTCT